TTTTAAATCATTCTTTTATGTTTAGCAAGCCAAGAAACACTTTATGCATGATGGAACTATATCTGAAGATCACTGCGCCGACGAGATTAAAGTAATAGAAGTACAGTATGAGGTATAGCAAAAGCAAATGTTTAATTTTTGTGACAAGCAAATTATGAGTAAATCTGTAAAATATAGTTTTTTTTTACAAAGCAGTTTCTAATGATTCATTTATTTCAAGAAAACCCTTGAAAGTAACTTTTGTCATTTTTCTTAATGAAAGATATTATGGCTTTGATATATAAATATTTATTATAAGTGGCAGCGCTTCAGAGTAGTTATCCCAAACTACCTACTGATTTGTCTGGAGAAACTTTCTCAGCTGTATTCAATACTACAACTACTGCAATGGAACGACTCTTAGTTGAAAAGGCGATGATGGGCCCTGGCTGGATTGACATCAGCAACTATAGTAAGTAGTGATTGGAAAGAAAATTCGGAGGATAGACTTTTTTGGAAGAATATGCTTGTTTTAGCTGAAGTTACTGCGAAACAGTCTTACTGCGACTATGAGTTCAGTGTAGATATGGAGAGGATGCGAAACCTTACTTACAACACATCAATAACTCAAAATCCGCCACCCGTACGCATGCTTGTACTGAATGTTCTAACAACATTGAATGAAAAGAAGGAAAATGAGGTAAACTGCACGTCAAATTGACTTGTAAAGGATCTTGCTTTGAGTGGTCATTTAACTGTTAATTTTGAGACAAAGTTAATTGAGGCTCTTGCAGATCTGTATGATATCAACACTATATAATCCTGCTTGTAGCCTTAGCAATCCTAGCACTGATCAAAAGGATCTTCATCGATTATGCAGTGAGATAAATTGATTCATTAAATCCTTTCAAAAGTATTTTTGAGAATTTGGTTTAAAAAGATCATATTTATCATCCTTTTCAGTGTTCACCAAACCTTGTGGCGGCACGCTGCCTTTTGACATAAAAGATCAACTGAACAGGCGAGGCCTAGCCGATATTGTCCTAACCGCCGGAAACGAAAAAGCTCTCCTATCGCTTTTTCTTGCAAAGATTCACAAATACGAACCTGACATTATTGTAGTAAGTTATTTTGGTGTGATAAGGGTTGATGCCATATTGCCTGTGTTGTGTGAGTGTGGCATCGGTGGTTCAGTGGTAGAATGCTCGCCTGCCACGCGGGCGGCCCGGGTTCGATTCCCGGCC